CCCACCCCGGCGGGGAGGACCCGGCCCGGAGAAAAGAAGACCCCGCCAAGGCCGCCGCCCGCCGCCATCTGTAACTCCGGCCCAGGACCGGAACCCGAACTTGAGACTGTTCCTCCTCCTTCTGTGACCCGATGCTGCTGATGCCGAGCCTGAAGATCCGATTCCAAGCCCAGCAGGTCCGTGATGGCAAAACCTTTGGACCGGAACCCGGACCCGTGATGGGGGCGGGTTTTGTCCATTCCAAGGCCAGAGGAGAGCAATTTCACTCTGGGCTTCTCTTCTGTGAGTTCGTCCCTGGCCGTCATGGTTCGGAAGAGACCTTTGACTGATTAATGATGATGATGATGATGGAGGATGCGGATTTGGCGGGCTCCATTTATTCTGACGCATCCTCCGGGGATCACAGCAGCAGCCAATCAGGGGTCAAATCAGTAGGAGGGGCGGGGCCACTTTTCTCTTCAATCTCAGAGGATTTAAATTGGCACCAATTTTTTTCTCAATCCGATCAGGATTTTTTATTCTGAAAAGGGGGAGGGAGGCATAGAGAGTGGAGGGGGTCCTTATAGGTCAGACTGGTGATCAGGTTCATGCCAGAGAATTAAATCACCCAAACACTCACTTAGCCACAAGTCAGTTCATATTATAATAAAACCAGACATTTGTTAATTAAAAAAAACAGATTTTATTTGAAGTTTATTTGTTTAAAGGAAATTTCAAAATCCAAAAAACATCAAAACGACACAAGAATAAACACATTAATATGAGAAAATCAAAAACTAAACCTAAAATAAAATATATATATATGCAGAACAATTTAAAATGAATCCAAAAATAATATGAATCAAAATAAGAATAATGTAATTAATTTACGAAAAAAAAAAGAAAAATCAATGCTTTCTGATTTGACTGAAATCAAAATAAGAATAAAAAACGAAAAATCAATGCTTTCTGATTTGACTGACCAGTTCTTTGGTTTCCAAAATGTGGACAGTGGCCCTGGGGTGGACTGTGGACAGAGCAAAGGTTTGACTGTTTACACACACACACGGACACTAAAACATTGATGCAGCTGTAGTTTATGGAGATTATTAAATCAGAACATCAGTTTGACATGTAATCTGAAAATAATCATTTGAAGTTGGATTAAAGTTTGTGTGTGAGTGCGTGTGTTTTTAATCATACGCAGGAACAGATTGATTCATTTCGATGATTTCTTTTTCCTATTCCCTTCATAATACTCATACACAACTGGATTTACAAATGTTCTTACAAGTCTTGATGTTTTCAATTTTATATTGATTTTATAAAAAATGCACTTTTATACTGTTCAAAGTTTCTTATTACTGCGTAACTGTTGTACGTTAAGCTATAAACTAAACTGTCATTAGCAAAATAAAATACAGATATTGTTGTCAACGCTGGGGTGGAACTGGAGTTTGTCCCAAAGCTAATATTGTAGGATAACCCTACAACCTGATGGAGGGAATCTTATTCGGTCTATGCAGATGATAAAAACAGGGTCACCCACTGATAAAGTTGTATAGGGAAGGGGTCACAGCAACAAGCTCACACTGGAGGGGGGAGATCCTTCACGTTCGACACGTACCAAGTGTCAAAAGAAGCCTGAGCAGCAGCAGTAATCACAGTTGACAGACGCTGCAGCTCCTGTTTTTTTTATGTCATTGTCATCTCTGC